TGAAATAACACAATAAATCGATTATCTCTTAAACCTGTATAAAATAATCGAATTGCAGCCTAAAAACAGCCACGAAACAACACAATAAATCAATGCACCGTGTGATTCATGGACTATCCCGATTTTTTCCATTTTCACAGGCTCTGGCAAAGCTCCTGGCTGGCAGAATTCCCATTTTTCCCTCTTTTCCCTGCTTTTCCAGATCCTGAACGCCGCCTACCACGTGGAGGTCACTTTCCACTCGGGCTCCACGGTGACCAGGATGCTGTGGGAGCAGATCAAACAGGTATGAACGCTTGGAAAAGGGAATTTTGCAGCCAAAAAAATCCTCTTAAATTCCCTCTGGGAGTTTATTCCTGGAGATTTCCATGCCTGGAAGCGCCTCAGGATGGAGTTGGAGCAACCTGAGCTGGTGGAATGGAATAAAATTTAATTAATAAAATTTAAAATCCTTTCCATTCTGGGAATTCCATTATTTTCATCCAGAGGAGATTAAGTGATATTGGTGGAAAAATCAGGGAAAGCTGTTCCAAAATTGGTGGAATTTCCAGGGAAGCAGCTTTTTCCTGGTGGAAATTCCAGGTGTTGGAATCAGCACTTCCTGTAATTAGTGGGTAATTAAATTGCTGTGCCTCACCCTTCATTAAAAACCAGGGAATTGCAGAGTGGATCCCTGTCCCAGGAAGGGAGGAGGAATTTGGAATTTGTTCCCACCCTGAGCTGGGATTATTTCAGGAAAAGTTTTGTTCTTGCTCATCCATCCAAGCAGGGAATGAAGTTCCAGCTCAGAGAGGGAATTCCAGGAAGGGATTTAGGTTGGATTTTAGGAAAAGGTTTTTGATTAAGAGTGCTAAAGGGCCCCTGGGGTGGTGGAGTCACCCTGGGTGTGTGCAAAAAAAAGATTGGATGTGGCACTGGGTGCCTTGGATTTGGGATTGATCCCAGGGATTTGTGCCTTTGACTGGGGCTGATCCCAGGGATTTTTGCTTTGGATTTGGGGCTGATTCCACGGATTTGGGACTGATTTTTGGGATTTGTTCCTTGGATTGGGGGCTGTTTTTTGGGATTTGTTTTTTGAATTTGGGGCTGATCTTTGGGATTTCTGCCATGGATTGGGGGCTGATTGCAGGGATTGGTGCCTTGGATTTAGGGTTTATTCCAGGAACTGCTGCCATGGATTTGGGGCAGCTTTTTTGGGATTTCTGCCATGGATTGTGGCTGATTTTTGGGATGTGTGCCATGGACTGGGGGCTGATTGCAGGGATTGGTGCTTTGAATTTGGGGCTGATTATTGGGATTTCTGCCGGGGATTCGGGGCTGCTTTTTGGGATTTGTGCCATGGACTGTGGCTGAGTTTTGCTATTTGTGCCGTGAATTTGGGCTGAGTTTTGGGATTTCATTGAGATGTCGGGGCTGGGTTGATCCAGGAGGTCTCTCCCAAGCGGTGACTCTGTGATTCCGGGGTTTTTCCCAGATCATCCAGCGGCTCAGCTGGGTCAGCCCCCCGGCCATCACCGGCGAGTGGAAGAGGAAGGTGGCCCAGGACGCCATCGAGAGCCTCAGTGCCTCCAAGCTGGCCAAGAGCATCTGCAGCCAGTTCCGCACGCGCCTCAACAGCTCCCACGAGGCCTTCGCCACCTCCCTGCGCCAGGTCAGCGCCTGGAGCTGCCCAGGGGCCAGGGGATGGGCATGGGAATGGGGATTGTAACTGAAAAATCGCCAAAAACTGCTCAGGAGCCAGGGGATGGGGATGGGAATGGGGATTGTAACTGCAAAATCGCCAAAAACTGCTCAGGAGCCAGGGGATGGGGATGGGAATGGGGATTGTAACTGCAAAATCGCCAAAAACTGCTCAGGAACCAGGGGATGGGGCTGGGGATGGGGATTGTAACTGCAAAATCACCAAAAACTGCTCAGGAACCAGGGGATGGGGATGGGGATTGTAACTGCAAAATCGCCAAAAACTGCTCAGGAACCAGGGGATGGGGATGGGAGTGGGGATTGTAACTGCAAAATCGCCAAAAACTGCTCAGGAACCAGGGGATGGGGATTGTAACTGCAAAATCACCAAAAACTGCTCAGGAACCAGGGGATGGGGATGGGGATTGTAACTGCAAAATCGTCAAAAAATGGTCAGGAACCAGGGGATGGGGATGGGAATGGGGATTGTAACTGCAAAATCGCCAAAAACAGCTCAGGAACCAGGGGATGGGGATGGGAATGGGGATTGTAACTGCAAAATCGCCAAAAAATTGTCAGGAACCAGGGGATGGGGATTGTAACTGCAAAATCACCTAAAACTGCTCAGGAACCAGGGGATGGGGATGGGGATTGTAACTGCAAAATCACCTAAAACTGCTCAGGAACCAGGGGATGGGGATGGGGATTGTAACTGCAAAATCACCTAAAACTGGTCAGGAACCAGGGGCTGGGAATTGGGATTTTTACTGCAGAACCACCAAACTGCCCAGCAGGTCGGGGCTGGGGATGGAGCTCGATATCGAACATAAGCAGGGCACAGGGTTGGGCTGGCAGCCCCGCAGGGCCAGCGCTGACGCTGTCCCCGCTGTCCCCAGCTGGAGGACGGGCACTGGGGCCGGCTGGAGCGCACCGAGGACCTGTGGCTGCGCGTCAGGAAGGAGCACGCGCCGCGCCTGGCCCGGCTGTCCCTGGAGAGCAGATCCCTGCAGGACGTGCTGCTGCACGGTGAGGGTCCTGCTGGGATCCCCACGGGAATGGGTCCTGCCGGGGGATCCAAAATGGGAATGGATCCTGCCGGGGATATCCCGATGGGAATGGGTCCTGCCAGGGGGGATCCAAAATGGGAATGGATCCGGGGATCCCGATGGGAATGGGTCCTGCCAGGGGATCCAAAATGGGAATGGATCCGGGGATCCTGATGGGAATGGGTCCTGCCGGGGGATCCAAAATGGGAATGGATCCTGCCGGGGATATCCCGCTGGGAATGGGTCCTGCCAGGGGGGATCCAAAATGGGAATGGATCTGGGGATCCTGATGGGAATGGGTCCTGCCGGGGGGATCCAAAATGGGAATGGATCCTGCCGGGGATATCCCGCTGGGAATGGGTCCTGCCGGGGGGGATCCCAATGGGAATGGGTCCTGCTGGGGGATCCAAAATGGGAATGGGATCCTGCTGGGGGGATCCAAAATGGGAATGGATCCTGCCGGGGATATCCCGCTGGGAATGAGTCCTGCCAGGGGGATCCTGATGAGAATGGATCCGGGGATCCTGATGGGAATGGGTCCTGCCAGGGGGATCCAAAATGGGAATGGATCCGGGGATCCTGATGGGAATGGGTCCTGCCGGGGGGATCCTGATGGGAATGGATCCGGGGATCCTGATGGGAATGGGTCCTGCCGGGGGGATCCCAATGGGAATGTGTCCTGCCAGGGGGATCCTGGTGGGAATGGGGTCCTGCTGGGATTGGGATGCTGCTGGGAATGGGATCCTGCTGGGAATGGTTCCTGCTGGGATCCTGCCAGGAATGGGATCCTGCTGGGAGGGATTCCTACTGGGAGGGGGCCCCAATGGGAATGGGATTCTGCTGGGTGGCGGGATCCTGCTGACAGTGGATTCCTGCTTTCCCTCCTCCCCAGGTAACAATGGAGTGGGGGAAGGAATTTGGATTTTTATCCATTTTCCAGGAAATCCAGTTTGGGTTTTCACTCCATTTTCCAGCTAGGTTTCAACTGGCACCTCCCAACTACCTCACAGCTGGGAATGTGCAGGAGGGAAAAACGTGGATTGGGGCTGATTGCAGGGATTTGGGCTGGGGCTGATCTCAGGGATTGGTGCCTGGGATTGGGGCTGGATTTTTGGGGTTTGTCACCTTGGATTAGGGCTGATTGCAGGGATTGGGGCTGTTTTTTGTGCCTTGGACTGGGGGCTGATTGCAGGGATTGGTGCCTGGGATTTGTGCCATGGATTTGGGGCTGTTTTTTTGGGATTTGTGCCTTGGACTGGGGACTGATTGCAGGGATTGGTGCCTTGAATTGGGGCTGATTTTTGGGATTTGTCACCTTGGACTGGGGCTGATTCCAGGGGTTTATGCCATGTGTTGGTGCCTTGGAATTGGGCGGTTTTTTGGGATTGGTACCTTGGATTTGGGCTGTTTTTGGGAATTTATGCCTTGGGTTGGGGGCTGATTTTTGGGACTGGTGCTTGCAGGGAAGCCCAAGCTGGGCAGGGAGCTGGGCCGAGGCCAGTACGGGGTGGTGTACCTGTGTGACAGCTGGGGGGGACACTTCCCCTGCGCCCTCAAATCCGTCGTCCCTCCGGATGAGAAGCACTGGAATGACCTGGCACTGGAATTTCACTACATGAGGTCTGTATCCCGAGTGCTTTCCCCATTCCACAGGGACCTGACTGATTTCCCAGGGTTTTTCAGGCTGCAAGAGCCCCCAGCCTGTGCCTGATGTCCCCTTTGTCACCCCTCTGAGTGCCACACCCAGGGTTGCTGTGGGAATCCGGGATTGGAGCTCCTGGAATGCTCAGCCAGGGCTGCTCCTTCCTGCCTTCACCGGATTCTCTGCTGCCTGTGCTGTCCAAATTCAGAGGAAATTCGAGTTTTCAGCCCATAATAACCTGCAATTCTCCTCCCCTGATTCCTGGTGGTGGATCCTCTCTCTTTTCCCCACTCCTCGTCCTGCCTGAATTCCCAAAAAAGCCAAGGATGGCTGTGCAGTGCAGGGAGTGCAGTAAACAGCTGCAGGCACAGCCAGCTGAGAGAAAAATAGGGTTTTTTGTCACTCTAACCTTTAAAAAGGCTTTTTTTCTTTTGAGTTTCATTGGCTCAGACAGTTGAGGTCTGTGCTGCTCTGAGCTGTGCTGGGAATTTTTGCTAAATCTGCAGCTCTGGGGCTTCTTCCCTTGGCCTGGGACAAAAATTACTCAAATTTTCTCTGCTGAATCTGCTTCATGTCCCTGCAAGGACTCAGGGGACAAAAATTATCCCAATTTTTTATGCTGAACCTGCTCCAGGTCTCTTCAGGGATTCCCTTGGCTTGGGCTGGAGAACAGGATAAAAATGACCAAAATTTTTCTGTGCTGAACATTCTGCAGAGATTTTGGGGCTTCTTCCCGTGGCCTGGGCTGGAGAACAGGGCCAAAAATGACTTAAATTTTCTGTGCTGAATCTGTTCCAGGTCCCTGCAGGGACTCAGGGGCCAAAATTATCCCAATTTTTTTTTGTGCAGGTCCCTGCAGGAACTCTGGGGCTTCTTCCCTTGGCCTGGGCTGGAGAATGGGGCCAAAAATGTCCCAAATTTTCTCCTCTGAATCTGCTCCAGGTCCCTGCCAGGACTCAGGGGGCCAAAATTATCCCAATTTTTTTGTGCTGAACCTTCTGCAGAGAATCTGGGGCTTCTTCCCTTGGCCTGGGCAGGAAGAGGGGGTAAAATGACCCCAATTTTGTGTGCTGACCCCTCTGCAGGTCCCTGCAGTCCCACGAGAGGCTGGTGCACCTGCATGGCTCCGTTATTGATTATGGCTATGGAGGAGGCTCCAGCATTGCTGTGCTGCTGATTATGGAGAGGCTGCACAGGGACCTCTACACGGGGCTGAAGGTGCCAAATTTTCTTATTCGATATTTATTTTATTTTTATTTTATCCCTGGAAGGGCTGGGACAGAGCTTGGAGCAGCCTGGTTTAGTGGGAAGTTTCTCCTTGCCCACGGGAGGAGTTTTAATCTCCTTTTCAACACAAAACTGATTCTCTAATTTAAAAAAATCACCATTAATTCATAAAACAAAGCTGAAATGAATCAATTTTAGTAAAGAAGAGCAGGCCAAAATAACTTTTAGGCATAAAATCTGTGTTTCTCCCCTCAGACTAAACCTGGTTTAGTGGGAAGTGTCCCTGTCCATGGGATGAGTTTTGATCTCCCAACCAAAAACTGGTTCTCAAATTAAAATTCCCCATTAATCTGTAAAACAAAGCTGGAATTATTCAATTTTCAGTGTTTTGGTAAAGAAGAGCAGGCCAAAGCAACTTTTAGGCATAAAATCTATATTTTTCCCCTCAGACTAAACCTGGTTTAGTGGGAAATGTTTCCCTACCCATGAGGCGAGTCTTCCTCTCCCTTCCAACCCAAAACCAATTCTCTAATTAAAAATTCCCCATTAATCTGTAAAACAAAGCTGGAATTATTCAATTTTCAGTGTTTTGGCAGAGAAGAGCAAGCCAAAGCAACTTTTAGGCATAAAATCTGTGTTTCTCCCCTCAGACTAAACCTGGTTTAGTGGGAAATGTTCCCCTACCCATGGGGTGAGTCTTGCTCTCCCTTCCAACCCAAAACTGATTCTCTAATTAAAAATTCCCCATTAATCTGTAAAACAAAGCTGGAGTTACTCAATTTTGGCAAAGAAGAGCAGGCCAAAGTAACTTTTAGGCATAAAATCCATATTTTCCCCCTCAGACTAAACCTGGTTTAGTGGGAAGTGTCCCTGCCCATGGGATGAGTTTTAATCTCCCTTCTAACCCAAACCTGTGATTCTCAAATTAAAAATTCCCCATTAATCTGTAAAACAAAGCTGGAATTATTCAATTTTAGTAAAGAAGAGCAGGCCAAAGCAGCTTTTAGGACTAAAATAATGTTTTTCCCCTCAGGCTGGGCTGGAATTGGAGCCACGGCTGCAGATTGCGTTGGATGTGGTGGAAGGGATCCGGTACCTGCACAGCCAGGGCTTGGTGCACAGGGATATCAAACTCAAAAATGTCCTGGTAAGGAAAAATCCCCACCTCTGCCTCATCCTGATAGAAAAAGGGTTTTAAAATCATGGGGATTTAGGGGGGAAAGGAAAATTAAGCTTAGTAGGCCCTGAAAAAAAAATAAATACCCTAAGTACACAAAGACTTTGTACCTTGCTAGAACTGCACCTGTGTAGCCAGTACATGATCATTGATATAACTGTTAGATGTGATGATTGGTTAGTAATTAAATATAATTACTATTTAATGGTAAGAATAATCATGAGAAACTGTGGTCAAAGAAAGATCAGGAGAAACTCATGTTTGGGTAAAGTAAATGTATAGAATAGAACAATTTAAGTTGAATAATGAATATGTAAGTTATATAAGGATAGAATATAAAATATGTTCAGCTCAAAAGCTGTGTTGGAGTCAGATTTGGGTCTGTAGCCCTGATTCCCAGAGCTCCCAATAAAAGCACCTGCATGGAATCACATCCTGTGATTGTGTGTGCTCCTGAATGCTGACAATCCCAGAGCCTTTTTTTGGGGAAAAAAAAAAGAATCTTTAAGTGAGGGAATAAATTTCTCCAGATATTTGAAGCCACAGGGAGGTTTTGCTGCCTCCTTTCCTGGCTGGAGGTCTGGGGCAAAGGGAGCCCCTCACAGGTGAGGCACCTTTTAATGCTGGTCAGGGGTTTATGGACAAAAAAACAAATGGGATGGGGCTGCTGTGGGAAACTCTCATTGCAGCAGGCCCCTGGCTGGGTAATTAATCAATGTCAATTAAGTGGCATTGATTGACTCCATGCTTCACAGAAGGCTGATATAATTTTATTAATAAATAATCTTTATTAAGAAACCCATTGCTTTTATAGACAGTTAAGATACAAGTGGACCTCGTTGGTCCTCCAGTCCAAACACCATCACCACTGACTAATTAAAAAACAACCCTTTGGTAAAAAAATCTCCACAGCAAATTCCAGATGTGCAAGCAAGAAGATAAGAATTATTTCTGGTTATTTTCTCTGATCTTCTCACAGCCTTTTCCAGGACAATGCCTGGGAAATTTGTGTTTCTCTCTGTGGCCAAAGAGCTGCTGCCACAAAACACATCTCGAGCTGTTTATTTCCCAGCATCAGTCTCATTTCATGGCTATGACAATGTAATAATTAATTAATTAATTAATTAATAGCTGTTTATTTCCCCGCATCAGTCTTATTACATTGGTTATGACAATGTAATAATTAAGTAATTAATAGCTGTTTTATTTCCCAGCATCAGTCCCAAAGTACTTTAAAACTTTGCAGTTTTATACTTGAAAACCTCATCAGTACTTTATAAAACTTTACATAATGAACATTTTATTGGCAGGAGTAAAAGAAAAATGATAAGGAACACAAGTAAACTTTATTAACAGAAGTAAAAGAAAAATTATAAGAAACAGAAATAAACTTCATTAACAGAAGAAGAATGATAAAAATTAGCATTAGTTCTTTTAGGGAGAGAAGTTTCTGTTGCTATGTTGTGGAAAAGAAACAGTTCTTTTGTGGCATTAATGTTACAGTGAATTAGTTGCTTGGGATAGGAAAATTTGTAGTGAAAGTCCCTCCCCTTGACTTACCACTTTCTTTATTTTTGAGAGCTTAATTTGTAGTTAATGTGGTATATTTTTAAGGATGAGCTCTTTAAAAGTAAAGTTTTTTATTTTTTAAATAATTTTTATTTTAGGGAATAAAGGGGATTTTTTTAATAGCTTCTCTCATAAAAAAAAAAAAAAAGTATTAAAATTATATTTTTATTTTCAAAACCAGCACAATACCAAAAATCAATATTTTATGGGAGAGATGAAGTTCTCACCTGCCTGCCTGTGACTTTTTCCCCCAGCTGGACAAAAAGAATCGGGCCAAAATCACGGATTTGGGGTTCTGCAAACCCGAGGCGATGATGTCCGGCAGCATCGTGGGCACCCCCATCCACATGGCTCCCGAGCTCTTCACAGGTAGGATCCCCCCAAATCCCCCAAATCCCCCGCTCTGCCTGGAATCCTGAATCCAACCCCTTGGAATTCATCCCTCAGCTGCTCCTCAGGCCACGCCAGCCCCAGGAAATTCCCTCTTTTCCATGCATACTCTGAATTTTTCCCGTGTTTTAAGCGCCGCTCTTGACGGAGGGTAATGGGGTTCCATCGGCTCTGCTGTGGTAATTAACACCCTTGCAATTAGAAAGGTAAATTATCATTAGGAGGAAGCTGGAAATCCTTGTGTTTTCACAGGGAAATACTCCAGGGAGGATTCCCCGGAAGGAATTTCCAAGCTTGGAGTGAGTTTGGATTCTCTGGGAATTCTGGCAGCTGTTCCTGGGGTTTTTCCTGAGTTTTGGAACCACTTGGAAGCTCCAATCCCACTTTTCCCAACATTTGCTCTGTCAGAGCTGCCCTGCTTGGATAAGGCTGGGATGGGATGGAAGCATCTCTGTTGGTGTGGATTTGAGGGATATCTGGGATATTTCTGGGATGAGAGGCTGATGTTTGGCTCTGACAGAGCTGAGCCTTACAGCTCTTGGTGTTTAAAATACACCTGAGCTCAGTTTGGGAATTCCTGGAACAGCTTAAATTTCTAAATCCTGGGAATTGGAAAAGCCTAACCTTGATCCCAACTCCTGCTGCCTTCCTGGATTTCACACCGGTTTTGCCTCCTTGCTACAAAATTGAGGTTTAAATGTGGGGAAGTGGAACCTTGCAATCACCTCTCCTCCTGCCCAGCTCCCGGTGATTTTTCCCTGCTGATCCCAGGTGGTTTTTTCCCAGGGAAATATGACAATTCTGTGGATGTTTATGCCTTTGGGATCCTCTTCTGGTACCTCTGCTCGGGCCACGTGAAGTTACCCGAGGCTTTTGAGAGGTGTGCGAGCAAAGATCACCTGTGGAACAACGTCAGGAGAGGTACCTGGGCTTGGCTCAGCTCTGAAACACCTGAGGGGGCGGGAAAATCCAGATTTATTCTGCTGGTGGAGAGATGAAAGGTGTAAAAATCCCAGAATCCCTGAAGTTGGAGAAGATTTCTGGGATCATCGAGTCCAGGCTGTGCCCGACCCCCACCCTGAGCACTCAGTGCCACCTCCAGGTGCCACCTCCAGGGATGGGCACTCCAAACCCCCCTGGCAGCCCCTTCCAGCCCTTCCCATGAGGAAATTCCTGCTGCTGTCCAACCTGAGCCTCCCCAGCACAGCCTGAGGCCGTTCCCTCTCCTCCTGTCCCTGTTCCCTGGGATGAGATCCCAAATCCCCCCGGCTGTCCCCTCCTGTCAGGAGTTGTGCAGAGCCAGAAATTCCCCCTGAGCCTTTCCCTGGAAATTCCTGGTGATCGCACTGTGACACTCAACCCCTCCACCTGCTTTCCCTGGATGTGAGCACGGGGCAAGGCTTTCCCTGGGAATTCCTGGAAATTCCTGATGATCCCACTGTGCCACCTGAATTCCCTGGATATGAGCACGGGGCAAGGCTTTCCCTGGGAATTCCTGGTGATCCCGCTGTACCACCTGAATTCCCTGGATATGAGCA